GGGCCCTGGTGGGGCCCAGGCGGCGGCAGAGGACGAGGAGAGGCCCGCAAGGAGCGACCCGAGGCTCCCAACCCGCCCTTCCCAACAACGCCCCGTGGGCCCGGCGGCCCCGAGCAGCGATGGGAATAACCTGGTTGATGTGCCTTCTGTTTAGTTTTGACTGGTGGTGGTTTGGGATTTTGTTGGGTTTTGTGTGTGTGTGTGTGGTTTTTTATTTCCCGCCCTGGGATGTTTAATTGTACCGATTCCCGAGCAGCCGGGCCCGGGGGTGAGGGGCTGCCCAAGGCCTGGCTGGACAGCCGGAGAGCACGGGAGGGACAGTCCTGTCCCAGGAATCTGTCCCCTGGTCTTTAAAGGCCGGGGGGTGAGGGAGCTGGGAGGAAACGCAGCTGGTGTCTGGTAAATGGGGTGTAAGGTGTGTGCAGCTGGTGCCCCAGGGCGCCCAGGTGACATCCCTCCCTGGTGCCCGGTGGAGGTGCAGGCTCCTTGCTGAGCTGGGAGTGGTCCCGGTGCTCTCTTCAGCTTGGGCCTCTTACACTGATTGCTTTTTTCTAAACAAGCATGGATACAGAAAGCTGTGGAGGTGCAGCCTTTACCCCGAAGTCCCAAGGAGCAGGAATAAATAAAAATTCATTTTTTGTTTTTTTCCAAAGCTCCTGCTTCTACGTTTTTGACCTCATAAGTCCCTCAGAATGTGGTGTCACCTAAACATTAGAGCCCTGGGACTTCTAGGGAAGTGCAAAGTCCTTAGAAAGGTAACGGGTCTCTTTTGTGACATTGTAAACATTAGGTGTTTCCTAAATCACCTTGCTTGTAGGAAATAAGCAAAGCGGTTGATAAACAGAGACTTAGTTGGGATCTTGAATGTAAATGAGAAAAGTATATTCTCTTCCTCATGGAGTAAGGGTCTCGTTACTGATAAATAACAGTAAATAAAATGGTCTGCTTACAGAACTGATGTTCACCTGTAGATGCCTCAGGATCTTCCTGCAAAGGGACTAAGTCTGACGCTGGCCTGGGTTCAGTAAGGTGCTTCTGTGAAGTAATTTCTTCTCTGGGCTTGCAGCTTCTTCCTGATACCTCAGATATAGAAATACATTTGAATTAAGTTCTCTATTTAATTTCTTGGTTGGATGTCTGAGTCCCTTTATGAACTGATTCCTTCATTCGTATTGTTTATTCCTTATGCAGTGTATTATGAATTTAAATGGAACTATTTTTAGCTCACTCTTCTGAGTGTCTCCTTTGTAAATAGAGGAAAGTAATCTTGGGAGGGAAGTGGGTATTAGTTGCACTTTTTTATCTGGTCTCTGCTCTGCCAAGGGAAGTTGCTTGGCAAGTTCTGTGCTGAGCAAAACTCCCTCTTCTCTGTTCAAAGTTGTTGGTTTTACTTTCTGATTGACTTGAACATTCAGCCCATAGTGATTAGCCAGCTGTATCTGTATATAAGTTCATGTTAGATGTATGTCATCATTTTGTGGATGCTTGAAATGCATGTACCAAAATAAGGAGACTGTTTCACTAATGGAAATCCAAACCTTATTGAAAGGAGCTCAGTCTTGAAGTTTTTCTTTTTGAAAGGTTGTTTTATTGCATTGTCTTAAGAACAGGAACATATTTAAATAAAAAAATGAAATGTATCCATCCTATGGGTGAACAGGTATGGACTGATTGCAGACTAGGCCATGGGTCTTGAAATCCTGTTTCAGCTTGAAGTAAACACTGGTCTGTCTGGCACTGAGCCAAGAGGGGAGGTTTTGTGTCACACTCTTGGCCTGAGTCTGCTTAAATCCTGGTGACAGCTCCTGGTCATGAATCAGGTCTATGACCTGAGCTTCTAGGAATTTTTTAACAAGAAATACCCATTTTAAAGTGGAATGAAAAAATCAGCAGAAACTCAGTATTCTTACCAGCTTTTTTCCATGTGTTAGGTTGCAGTTATGGTGAGCTGTGTGTGCTGTGGTAAAACTTTAAAAAGAAATAAAACTCTGGGATGTCTCTTGTCTCTATGTTTTTGGATGTCTTCAGCCACCTCCCATCTGGAGTGGGTTGGAGTCTTCAACATGCATTCAGTCTCAATTCTTATTAGTATTTTTGGATGTGTGGAAGTCGTTGGGTTTTTTGGCTTTTTTGTGCCCTGAAGTGTGCTTTTGGGGTGAGCTGGGTGCCTTTATAGGCCAGAAACTCATGTAAATGAATGAGTATGTATAATCTGGGAGAGAATACGAATGTTGACATAGGCAAATTGTTTTGAGGATGTTCTGCTAATTGGAAAACTGAAGTTACCATAGCCATTAATTAAGTTAGCCTTTTGAGATGGGTGCAGACACTTGTTCATTTTCTAATGTATGAGGTTTTATGAGCAGGATCTTTTTAAAGTGGTGTTGTGAAGTGCTTTTTTTTTAAAAAAAAACACAGTAAAATAATGTGGATGCAGCTGTTCTCATTGATTACATTTGGAGAACAGGTTAATGAAAATGAAGGAGCTACTTAGTTTTTACAAGCTTCCTGAGGTGTGGAGCTCAGATTCAAAACAATGTGTTGATGAAGAGCTCGGCCCACTGTCACCTACTGTGTGTGCTGCAGTTTATAAACCTCTTCGCAGTCACTGAGTGCTTGTGGGGGACTTTCTGAAAATAATGCTCTGCTCTCTGCTGCTACCTGGAAGTTTGTGTTGGTCACCGGTGTCAGGTTGCTGGGATTTGCTCAGCGATCCACTCTGGGGAGCCCCGGGGGCATAGGCTGTTGCACAAGCAGTGGGCTGGGGGGGTGTATATTGTACAGTTCTCAGAATCAAAGCACGGGGTGTCTGTGGTGGCTGGTTCCAGGCTGATTGTTTAGTGTCCCTGTACTCAGGAGTTGCGCCTGGAAGGAAGGGACGCTTTGCTCTTGCCACACTTAGCAAGAACAGCTACTGACAGCCATGTTTCCAAACGTTCTCTCAAAATAGTATCTTGCCCAGCCAGCTGCTTCGTGCCCCCTGACATATGCTGTGTGAAATGTTGTTGCCAACTCATCAGCAGTTGTTTCTCATCCTATTTCCCATTATCTGTTTATGATTAAACAAAGCCCTGAACTCTGTTGGGGGTTTGCTAGTGGCCTTTCACTGCTGTTGCTTTGAAAACAAAACATGCTGAAAAGTGCATTTATTTTTTCAAAAAACACAGTGCAAGCCATAGAAGCAGCATTTACTATAGAGTGAAATGCAGCTGGCTGGCATGCAGAGTCGAGTTTCAGTATGAGATACATAACACTTGCTAATTGACAGAAAAACATCTGATTATTCCTAGGTGAGAAGAGCAAGAGATTTTTTTTCCCACAGAAGTTTTGTCAGTCTTCCAGACTTCAGAGGAAATCTGTGGTTTCAAAGTTGGTTGGGTACCTTAGCCCTGTATTTGGTCATCTTGTGTCTTTTTTTACGCTGTGTTTATCAGGGTGGTACATAAACATACTCCTGGCATCAGTCCTGGGCTCCAGTTCCTAGACCTTAGGCTGGTCTTTGTTTAACAACAGCTGTTTGCTGCCCATGTTGTCACTGTCCCTTGCCCCTCCTCTCTGGGTGCCTGCTCTCAAACCTCTCCCAAAGCCCTGAGCTACAGACCCTGTTCTCTCTGCATTATTATTTAGACTCTTTTTTCTGCTCCAGACTCCTCAGTAAAGAAAGTCCCTTTCTTCATGTCCAGCCTAATGTCCTACAACTTGGGGTTCAGCTTTTTTCCCAGCTCTCCCCAAACGCCAGCCCCCCAGCAGTGCCCACGCCCCCCTGGCTGAGCCAGGCTCCCTGTTCAGGCAGAAATCCCGGTCAGGCACAGCCGGGGCTCTGCCTGCCTGGCCCCTGCTGACCCATGGCACCAGCGAGGGGAGCTCTTCCAGGAAGAAGCAGAACAAGGGGTTGTTTTTTTCTAGCGCTAATTTGGCTGCTGCTGCTGCACGTTTGGTTGGCGTGTTATAGATAGCTTCTGTGTGAGGGAACGGAAGGGATGATGCATGTGCTGTGCTC